ATTTCTCATTCAGCTTCTTAGTCTCCTTTTATTTTGGAAATGTTGACAATAATCACAGAACACCTGAGAGCAAGAAAGCCCATGTCGGGGTACAATTTCAATGAGGCTAGTTTGCCAACAAGTTTGTCCACTGAATTCTCAAGCTGCTGATATAAAACATCCCCTTATGGCTAATTATCTACCCTGACTATGTAATTTAAGTATTTTACTGCCCTGAACAAGAAGTGGTACTTGTGACTAGGGTTACAAATTGCTCTCTATCATCTCTATTATTAGCTAACAACAATCTAGGTTATTTTGTTCTGGACAACTTGGCGATTAGTGCATTGATATCACCCGACATCCTTTACTGATAAACTTCATCACACATTCTTCAGATTAGCATATTTCCTATGCTTAGATGTACATGAGTTCTCAATTCAACTAAAAAACAACCTTTAAATTATAATCATGTTATAACTTATTAGTCAAATGTATTGCTAGAGTCCTAAACACTCACATTATGAAAATAAGACCAGAAATGAATGAATAATAATGCTTTTTGTCTGTAACTGTAATATTTACTTAAATTATCAAAATAATAACTTAGATTTATCATTTTGTATTTGATTAACACTTGTCAGACAGGGAAATTTGTTCTAATATGCAGCAATTATTTATCATGAGAAACTAATCACAGGTTTAATAATGTAAAATGCATTACAGTTCACTTATTTTAAATTTAAACTTAAAACAAAGTACAAATTGTATGTTTTAGGCTTACCCTAGTTAGGGTTATCATTACTGTGATGAAACACCATGACCAAAGCAATCTGGGGAGAAAAGAGTTTATTTGGCTTATAATTCTAAATTCCTGTTCATTACTGAAGGAAGTCAAGACAGGAACTCAAACAGGACAGAAACCTTGAGGTAAGAACTGATGCAGAGGTCATGGAGGAGTGCTTCTCATTGACTTGCTCATCCTGCATTCTTATAGAGCCTAGGTCCACTAGCCCTGGGCCCTACCACCTACAATGGGCTGAACCCTCATTCATCATTCACTAATTAAGAAAAAGACCTACAGTCTTGCCTGTAGCCTAATCTTATGGAGGCATTTTCTTAATTGAGGTTCCCTCCTCTCAGATGACCTTAGCTAGTGTCAAATTGACATAAAAGTAGCTAGCATAATTGACCCCTTATCAAATTGACACACAAACATCACTCTGAAGCCATAACCTTTCCTTTAATGTTCATACCAAGAACATGCACTAATACAACACTACAATATAAAACATTTTACAAACTCAAAATGCCCATAGTCTTACAAATTCAAACACTTTAAAAATTCAGTATCTTTAAACAAAATCCAAAGTCCCTTTTAAAGTCCAAAGTCTCCTTTAAAATTGAAAGTATTTCAACTGTGGGCTCCTCTAACGTCAAAAATAAATTATTTCAAGAGGGGAAAATGAAGACAAAGTCACCATCAGATCAAAGTCAAACCAAATTCAACATTATAAATCATTCAATGTCCAGGATCTAGGATTTACTGACAACCTTCTGGGCTCCTCCAAGAGTCTTGGGTCACTTCTCAAGCTTTGCCCTTTGCAACATACAGAACTTGTATTCTAGGCTCAGGAAACTCCATGCCTGCTGATGTTGTTGGTGGTCATCTCATGGTACTGGCATCTCCAAAATGCTGAGGTCTCTGCAGTAACTGTGTTGTGCATTCACCAATAGCCTCTTTTGGGCTCTCTTCAAGGTACAAAGCCTCAAATTTCTCCATGACACCTTCAATACTGCCTTCCACTGCTACTTCTGCTTAACCATCACCAATGACCTCTCCTGCTCTGTAACAGTGCCAAGCCTCAGCTGACCTCTTCAATGCCTTCAAAGCCACTACCTCCTGGGAGATTATGCTGATGCCAATGAAACACTTTCCAGAAGATTTCACCATAATGATGCTGGTCTCTTCATAATCACCACTAATTTCTCAGCTCCAGCTGAATGGCATCAGTTGTCCCAGTGAAACAAAGGTTTCACTTCAGTGGTTCTGGCCTCTTAATAACTACAGCCTATTTTTCATCTCCAGCTGACCAGACACCACAGATTCTTCACACAAAAGACCCTGTGGAGTCTTTGCTTTTCACTGAAACTCCACAAGCAAGCCTATATTGTCTGTGGTTCTCTCAACATTGGTGTCTTCCAAGTTCCCACCGAACAGCTCACCAATCTTTGAATGGCTTTTCCAGACCCAAGTTCCAAGTACTTCATGAATCTGTTCAAAACCACATGGTCAGATCTGTCACAGCAACACTCCACTATTTAGAGTTACTATTGCTGTGTGAAACAGCGAGAACAAATGAAAGCTGGGAAGAAAAGGATTTATTTTGCTTACATTTCCACATAGTAGTCCATCACTGAAGGAAGTCAGGACATAAAGTCAAGCATGGATGAATCCTGGAGGCAGGAGCTAATTCAGAGGCCATTGGGGAAGAGTGGTGCCTACTGGCTTGCTCATCATGGCCTTCTTATAGAACTCAGGATCACTAGTCCAGGGACAGCACCACCCACAATGGGATGGGCCATCCCTCATCAATCACTAATTAAGAAAATGCCCTACAGGCTTGCCTATAGCCTGATCTTATGGAGACATTTTTAAAATTGAGGTTCTTTTCTCTCAGATGACTTTAGTTTGTTTCAAGTTGATATAAAACTATCCAGCACATGGCTCATACTGGAGGCTATTTGTGTGGTGATTAAACAATAATAATATACTGTTAATCTCTAGCACACAGAAATAATTCTACAATTGTCAGCAATTTGAAAAAATGAATATCCACGATCACAATGTTTAAAATGTTTTATTTATATTCTTGCCAAAAGAATGAACAAAAGCAGAAATTTTTTCAAGTTATCAGCTTCTCAGAATCTTCCATATGTATACCTGTAGCTATGAGATCAGTTAGAGACCAAAACCAATATAAAGAATTACACTTTCTCCTAGTCCTGAAGATGCAACTTGAGAATTATTCTGATAGGAACTATCTTAAAATCTTCCAATGGCTGTCAACCTTAAAAGCTATAATTTGAGTAGAAAGAAATATGGAGCCATGTGTTGCCTAAAATGAAAAAGTCTTATGAATTATGAATAATATATCATGAGACAATATTGTCACCTGAGAACCACAGATTAGTTACATACTGGGTGATATACTTACTACATATTATAGCTGACATATATCATTCTTTATGTCATCTGTCATTAAATGGAATATCATTTGCTGTTGCATAGCAGTAGATGAATGCAGATACATATGTATATGAATATATGTGTGTTAAAAATATCCAAGTATTTGATTTATTTCTTCCTAAAACACATATTTCATGTATTTCTTTCATCCTGGAGTACAGGAGTACAAATGTTATATATTTTTGCTATTATAGATACCTAAGTACAAAACTGCACTATACATTCAATCTTCACCCAAATCTGTGTGCTTTTATAATTGCTTGAGGAAAATCTATTACTGATGAAATCATTTAAATTATGTCAATGGCAAAATTTATATTCCTTTCCTCAACGTTTTTCTGAATTCAAATACCTTGTCCTAAAGAGATTGATGGTACCCTGACTGACTTAGATGAGAGAAAGATTTTTTTTTATTTTAATCTCTCACACAGCTTATGTAATCATCATAAATTCTTTATTATGAACATCCAGCCTAAGATTTCAATAAAATAGGAGGGATAGATTCGAAATAGTGGTTTTACATAAAGATCTGTCCAGTTGTTGGCCATCAGACCCGAAGGTTGTCCCTGGAAACTCATCTGGGTTACTTTGTTTCCTTGGCACCTCTGTCTGTTTCAACAACCTCACTGAGGAAGTACCTGTTTCACACTCATCAGGAACCTAATGCTATTGGCTTTGTCATCCATCGCCTGCTTCTTAATCTCTGGGTTGTAGAACCTCTTCACACTTCCAATTACACCACTTCAGCTACTTGATTCATGGGGTCTTAATGCCTAAGGAGATTAGGTGTCCCAAAATATAAAGTATTAAAGGCGAATAAGCAGAGTCTCTTGAGTGTTAAGCTCAGTTTATGCAAATATTTAAGTCATTTTCATCTAATTTAAGACCCACTTATAGTTTATGTTCCTCATCTTACATTAGAAAAACAGACACTGTCTTTTGGTGGTGGCTAAACAGACCACTTCTATCCTTTGCCTATGTCTAAACTGCATTGCAAAGAAAAATGGTTTCTTTATAAAGGGGAACGAATAAATGAATCAATGAAGGAATAAAAGTGGTAAAAGTCCAATGGTTTCATATACTGGGCCTCACAGTATTTCATTATCAGAACTAAGACTGGGAACTTTAACAAAAGGTAAAGAACTTAAGTGCTAAATCAAAAAAAAAAAAATCAACAACATTTTTTTTTCATTAATACACTGAATTATTACACTGTGTGAAATAGATGGAATAACTCAGAAATAGTACCTTTAAGACAGTACCATACAAACCATTTTGTATGGAGTTTAAATTATATATTTTATACATATTAACATACAAATTAAATTGTATATATAATCAAGTTAACAGCAATTAATAAAATGTCACATATCTATGCATAACTACATGCAAGACAAACATATTAAACTTTAAAACTAAAAAATTAAAAGTAATAAGTGGAAAAAATAGTGAAATTTTGATTAAAAAAAAAAAAAACTCAACACATGCTGAACAGTAGTGGTGCATACCTTTAATACCAGCACTCAGGAGGCAAAGCCAGGCAGATCACTGTGAGTTCGAGGCCAGCCTGGTCTACAGAGGGAGATCCAGGACAGGCACCAAAAGTACACAGAGAAACCCTGTCTCAAAAAAACAAAACAAACAAACAAAAACAAATCAAAAACTCAACACATATTATAGTTTATTCAGTGTATGGTTTTATTTTGATATTTCTATCAAATGAAACAGCCAGTAAACATTTACATTTAAAAGCAGGTTATGTGTATCATACCTTTTCATGAACTTTCTGGCCAGGTTCCATTCCTTCAAGATGTTCTGACTCTGTGGATCCCTCACTTGATGCCATTTTTCTCTGAATATGAACATTTTGCTCACGCAAGGCAACAATCTGCAAAATAAAAGATTAATGCCTTTAAAAGGTAATTTACATGAAAATGGCTACTTGCTAATGAAGATGGGCAAATGATCGAAACACAAAGACTAAATTTACCTACATTATGATTTCAAAAAATGTCTTTAAGGACAGCATTATGAATAACACTTATGCAAATCCATGACATTTCCCTTTAAAAATTTAAAGTGCTGCACAAATTTACCAAAGAATATTTTTTTCCATTTGGAAATACAGTGGTTAATTACAAAAATAGATTTTAAGTTGTGTCACAAGAATTCCTGTTGTATGTACTTTCAAAATGTACAAGACATATACATAAGAAGAATATAAGCTGAAAAATAATTATAGTTCCAATTGCTTAACCTCCAGAGACAGCCTGTAGCAAATCCTTGAGCTGGACTTTCAAGAATTTATACATGATTCAAACTACTTTATGTAAGGAGGACTCACAGTCATTATTTCAATGGTCACTAACAAGATTTTTCATCCAAATTTACTTAATTGAGAAAGAAATCAGCAATAAATTCTTATTCTTTTTCAGCTCAATTTTATGGGCGTGGTATTGAAACTAAGAAACAGGTTCTCAAAAAGTTCCAAATATGATCCAAATAATAAGCTGGGTATAAAATAGTATTCTAATATTTTCAAATGATTTTAAAATATAATTATTACCTAAAATTAAAAACAATTTACATGATAATAATAGCATAAATTACTTCATGGAATCTTTTTTATATTATCAATTCATATGTTATAACTAGGTCTAGAATGGATCAATTTCTGTGATATTTTGTATGTGGTAAATACTGAGTCAAACAAAACTATGTAATATTTGAAATTATGAGATCAATGGATCACACAGACCAACAACCATTAAACAGCAAGACAATAAAAATCTAAGTGTTCGCCGGGCGGTGGTGGCGCACGCCTTTAATCCCAGCACTCGGGAGGCAGAGCCAGGTGGATCTCTATGAGTTCGAGGCCAGCCTGGACTACC